AAGGTTTTCTATATATCAGGTCCGTACGCTCTTTCTCGGGTACCAGTAAATCTTTCGCATACAGATTTTCATCAATAAAACAACCAACCACGCAATACAAATATCTCATTGTATATTCACAAATCAATAAAACAACATTTAAGCAAACAGTACGATTTTATATCTCAACAATTAAGAAATGTAATTGGGGCTTTTATTTAAAATTAATGAATCCAATAAAAATCACGATCAGACAATCAATAAATAGAAAAAATAATTTAAAAATAATAATTTTAATCATATGGCAGATTCATCAAGCAAGTAGAAAAATATAGGAAAATAAATGCGAAATCAAGATAGTTGTGAACTAACTGGTTCCGACTCCAATAGTAATCTGTAATTGCTTTTAGAGTTTTTTAATTTTTCGTAAAAAATACTAAATTATACATTGTTAAGCCTCAATTTACTGTAACGGGGAATAGGGTGAGAGATCCTTATCCAGATCGGTGTTCTGATATATCGAGTTGTCTACTACACCTCCTATCGATTACTAAATTTTCAGAATTTTTTTCTGTGGAATCCAAAAAACTCGTCACATACCTAAAAATACCCCAGGAATTCAAAATCGGTGTCCAAAATTCATTCCGACCAATTTTGGTATTCCGACATGGCGGCAACACCGTGCTCCAGCGTGTCAACTTCGCTGCCCAAGGTAGTGGTTTACCTTGACTTGGCCAATTTTGGCTATATCCTTGCAGAAAAATAAGTTAGGGGTCTCGGTTGGTTAGTAAATCATAAAAAACTGAACCTACCAGCGGGGGAACGTCAGGGTGCGGCAATTCTACCGGTCCTCATTCGCAACTGAGGTTATTTTTTGGCTAATCTGCACAGAAAAGAACGGTGAACACAATAATAAAAAAATCACGTGAAACAAAAATCGGGAAGGGGCTCATCAGAGGAATTTTGAGATTTTGGCCTCCATGGCTCCGTGGAGCTTTACTTACAGTTTTTGGCTCACCTGTCGTCTTTCTTGCTCCGATTTTGCCATAGGGGTGCTCAGAATCGAATTCCAGGCATGTATGGAGAATGCTTACCTTTTTTGGCAGTCGGCAGTGGCTCCGACGGTCGGCGGTGGCTCTGATGATCAAAGGTCGACCTCCTTCTCCAGTGTCTAGTTCTTATTCTCCAGTGGGGACTAGCGGTTAGGATTTGGGTTCTCATGTGATGCGAAGTATTTATACCCATCCTGCGTTGATATGAACCGTTCATCGTGATTGATCTCATCCATTCGATCGCATCTAAGGAGGAAACGAATATGGACCGTCCATCATAATTTTATTTCGGCCATCCGATTACACTTAAGGGAAAAACGAGTCCGAGCTGTTCACGCACACGGGATCGATCCTGGGTCGTCCGATCACGGGGTACGCGGATCGCCCATGTGACCTCCCGCATGGCACCAATATCAGCGTGCCTCCACGTGGCGTGCTCCGGTTCGTTGGGGTTGTTAACTGGGCGGTTCTATGTGACTGAACTTTTTTTATTTATATTTTAACTCTTATGTGTCTAATTTTTATTTCAAAAACACTCATTTTTTCTAAAATTATTTTCGATTACATCTCTAATATATTTTTTTAATAAATTCAATAAAATAAAATTAAATTAATTTATAAATAAATTTTTATTTATTTTTAAATTGCTAAATTGATCTTGGGTCAAATTTCAGGTCCGGTTATTATATTTATTATGTTGTTAAATAAAAAAAATATTATACGACGACTAATTCTTTAAGTAAAATAACTATAATAAATTAAATTTTGATATAGTATTTTTATCTTCATATAGATATAAATGTATATATGTAGAGATAAAATATAATTAAATATATTATTTTAATCGACAAAAAAGTAGTTTAATTTTTTATTTTTACAAGAAATTATAAATTAGATTATACTTTTGTATTTGTCTTATTTAAAAGTGATTTTTGTTATGTTATGACTAAGTGTATATATATATATATATATATGATTTAATTGATGAGTATATATATTATATATTAAAAAAATTAGAGAGTGCTAATGATTGATTAAGTATTTATTTGGTTAAAATGGAGGTTGGTGTGGTGGGAAATCAAGAATTAGTGTTATCTATTGAGAATCAATAGTCTTTTCCTTTTCTTTTTAACCAAAGTATACTCTTCTACTTCGCTCATTTCTTTTTTTTTTTCAAATTTCTTTAGAAAAAAAAAAAAACAATTGTATCCTCTCCCACTACCACAACTATTAATATTATATATATGTGTATGTATAGAGTGTATTATTATTATTACTAAGGTGTGAAAGGCAAGCTTCTTTTCAAAGAGAAAAAGGTGGAAGATTAACTATCATTGCACCCTTCCATGTAGGTACTAATTCTAACATATTTTGCATTGACAATAGGGTTAATTAGTTCATTCATTATAATATATATATATATATAAACAAAAATTAGAATTAGAATTTTGACCTTTAAATTAAATCAATTCATTTTTAAGCCCTATACCCAGTTGACATATATATATATATATAGAGATTAATTTTTGAAATTATGAATAATGATATTAATAAAAAGTAATTTTGTCAGTAATTGGTGGTTCTATGAGATGATGATTGATCATCATGTGTATTTAGAGTGGATATCCTGTGGCTAATTTATGCATGATTATATTTTGCACAAAAGCCAGTGATTGATTGCTTATAACACTTTGTCAAATTGTGTAATTGCACATATATATATATATATATATAGCTTCTTAGCTAGTGTGGGTAACCAGATAGATCGTTTTCGATACTTGAATCATTATACATATATATATATTATTACTAATATTATATGCGTATATATTGATATGACCCAGAAATTTCTGGTGAGGAAGTAGTGTTTGACACTGAACCCTTTTTTCATTTTCTTTATTTTTCCGAATATTTTGGCCGTATATATATATATATATATATACATATTTATTTATTTATTTATATAGACATGCATATAATTCGTCGCCTGTATAATGTAAAACAAAAACTGGAACCTGCGTGAAGCTTATATAATCTCGCTGTATTGTAAGTGTAGTTTAAAAAAAAAAAAAACTTGATGAGAACGACAACGGAGGCTGATTGACTACGTGTCGCGTCCTGATTGGTTAGTCGTCTGCAATATTCCGTAGTAGGGTGGTAATGAAGAAGAATATTTTGGCGTAGTATATATATGTGATATCGATGGGCACAAGAAACTATTAAGAGAGTTGAGTGGGAAGAAAGATAAATTAATATTTTTCTATAATCTAATCACTAATAAATTTATATTTAATTTGATCAGAAAATAATAATAATAAAATTACCGCATTAGCTTCTGAAATTTACTATAATATTTTAAAAATTATAAAAAGAATTAGAATTCAAATTGTAAGAAGAGATAAATATAACAATTAATTTTTAAAATTGAAGTTGATATAAAATTTTTAGTTATTATAAGAATGTGATGTGTGGGGCGTGAGGCGGTGGTGGGTTTGTTTTGGAGTACAATTCACAATGGATTAACGCGTACGTATTATTAACATGAATTGACATGTTAGATATGTTGTTTGTGTTGTGTTGTGTTGCACAGAGACATGCATCTTTTCCTCATTACCAATCTCTAATTTTCTTTCGTATGCATTTTTATACTCAAATTATAATAAGCTTCGAATTTTAAAAATTAATTTAATAATTTACTCAGAAAAAATTACTGAAACCCATTTTTTTTTTTTCTTAATCATGAAAAATGATGATTTTAATTTCCATTATGTAAAAAAATTTCAATTTGTAATATCTCAAGTCCTATTGTGAAGGTATATTATAATTTTGCAAACGTAGGCTTGCTAACTCAGTACTAGTAGTAGAACTGGAATCTTGAAACCAAAATTGGATTCACATTTCAGATCAAATTAAAATTAATGGGAAGCACACAGTGATATGATTGCAGCTTTCGATGGCTTCTCCACATACCTCCAATTCATTATTTCTTACTGATGTGCTTCTACATATTATTATTGCCTTCAATTCACACACACACATACATAATTTACATATATATATATGTATGTATGTATGTATATGTCTATGCGTGTGTGTGTGCGTTTCTAGTCCCAATTCTACATATAATTATGTATATATACTAATAGGGGGAAAGAAAGGAAATGATATCATATTTAATCTCTTTTTATCCAAAACATAATCAAAATTAATTAAAGTTTAAGCATTTACACGTCATTGTAGTTTTTTTCAATATGGTGTTTAAGTTAAACTCATCAGTAACATTTGATTCACTTGTTTACAACGACAAAAGAAGCCTCAAATGATAAGTTCATTTGTACGTAAAATCTAGAGGTTAATGTGTTGGAGTATCATTTGACCACCCAAATTCCGAGATTAATTAAGGGGTTAAACCATAATTACCAACACACACATATATATATATATATATATATATATTAAAAGTCTAATTTTCATATATTTATTAACGAAAAATTAAAATATTTAAGTTGCATTTTAAAGGCTTTAAAAGTAGTTTATTTTAAATTTTAAAATAATAAAAAAATAAATTAAACATGAGCTTTTTTATTTCTAATTATTTTACAAGTTAAAATAAATTGTTTTTGAAGTTTTAAAATATTTCATAATTATTTTAATATTTTTTATTAAAAAATGGATAAAAACTCTTATAATAAATATAAAATATTAAACAACAAATTATAAATACAAAACTGTAACAAGAGCAAGTCTTGAGCTTACAATAGACAATAATAAAACTCCACATTTGTCCCTCTCTAAAAATCTGATATTTGGGCTTACAAAGTTTTGGCCCACAAAAGAGTAACCTTACGGGCTTCTCAGTAATTTTGGACCCGATTCATACCCGTGTTTTTCTAGAACTCCAAAACTACGTCGTTCCCCTTTGTGTCCCAGTTCATGTGGTCCACTAGGAAGCTTCCTTATAGTTAATTAGTTAAGTTGTACTCCTGTCTTTCTCTGTCCTCTCTCTCTCTGCCTCTCCAAATTTCTCGATCGATCGGATTCCCCGATCTAATTTTCAACTCCCTGCAAATTAGTGTTCGGAAAAGATGTCAACTCCATTCAGCGGCGATGAAACTGCTCCCTTCTTCGGCTTCCTCGGCGCCGCTGCTGCACTCGTTTTCTCATGTGAGTAACCTAACCCTAAATTAGACCTTTTTCATCCCCTAATTTTTATTTGTTTTTTTAGAAAATGGATATCATTGATCAGGGTTTAGAATCTTGTTTTTTCAGTGTTAATATAGAGATTACCATTTGTAAGATTTGCAAGAATTAAGGATTGAATTTGTTTTTCAGGCATGGGTGCCGCGTATGGAACGGCGAAGAGTGGCGTAGGGGTGGCGTCGATGGGTGTGATGAGGCCAGAGCTTGTAATGAAATCGATCGTGCCCGTTGTTATGGCGGGAGTTTTGGGTATTTACGGTTTGATTATTGCGGTTATAATCAGTACTGGTATTAACCCTAAGGCCAAGTCCTATTACCTTTTTGATGGATATGCTCACTTGTCCTCGGGTCTTGCTTGTGGCCTTGCGGGTCTTTCTGCCGGTATGGCTATTGGTATTGTTGGCGATGCTGGTGTGAGGTATTCACTCTCTATCTTCATTGATGGTGGAATTATTGATATCTATTATGAAATTAAATGTTCATTTTTCTAATAAGACCTTCAATGATAATGCAAGTTAGATAAAGATTTCGATGTACATTATGTGGTAGTAGGCTTTGGGTGATTATTCTCAGCTCAATTTGTTATCACTGAATTTGGGATCTTTAATAGGACTGTGATTACATTATGCTGTTATCGGGGCAAGCTTATTAAGAGTAACCTTACCAATCGAGGCATGATATTTTTGGAGGAAAAAATGTTCTTAGATGTGAAATTGTTTACTTGAGTATCATAATAGACCAGGAAGGAGGGTGTTATTCCGGCTCATGAAGAAAGAAAGCAGCCTTTCTTCTACTTCTGCTATATCTGTTTCTTTGTGGAGGACCATTGTCTAATTTTTCTGTTTATATTTGGGAAATTTAGTTTATTCTGTGACTCCAACATTTGAAGGTTTCTCAAAGGTATTCCTTTGGGGAATATGCTGCCGAAGTTGTAAATTAGACATGTGATATTGGTTTTATTGATTTCTTGTTTATGCATTTCATGTATTCATGTGTCATCACCTAGTTTCTGTCCCAGTTATTGGTTTTTCAAAAATTATTTTTACTTCTACCATTTCTTATTTATGCATTTCTTGTAGCATGCTGAAACTTCTTTTTTCACTTGCAGAGCTAATGCACAGCAGCCTAAGCTTTTTGTTGGAATGATTTTGATTCTCATCTTTGCTGAGGCATTGGCTTTGTATGGCCTCATTGTGGGCATCATCCTTTCTTCTCGGGCTGGTCAATCCAGAGCAGAATAAGGTGCAGGATTCTGATCTATGGGCTGTTGGAACACTTTTGTATTCTGGTTGGTGATGCTCTTGTAGAGCAGGAGATGTTAAATTAAATTGTTTGTAATTTAGATGGTTACCCTACTTGTGGTTGGGTGGTTCTTGCTGATATTCTGATTAGGATCAAGTTTTTTCTCCCTCCTTGAAATAAATTTGTTGAAGCTGTTTCTTTCTATATTGTGCTATTTTACATGTAGGTTCCAACTAATGTGAAAGATGGTATTACCATCACCAATTTGAACCCTAAGATACCCTCTCTCTCTCTCTCTCTCTCTCTATGTATATGTATGTTTTTATGTGGCTGAATTCCATATTATCACTTGAAACCATTTTTCTATTTTAGTCACTTGATAATTCTTTAATCAATACTTATGTTAACTATGATGTCATAATTCATGGAATACTACTTGAAAAAGGATCCAAGTAGGCAGCAACCAAATCCCCGATATGAGCTTCAAAATTTGATGTAGATTTTGGTTGTTAAAGATTTGCAAAAGAGGTAGATAAACTTTGTTTTGAGTGAGCTCGTATACACTTGCGCAAACACAAAAAGGTAGGGCTTGTAGTGCCGCATTGCCAAGGAAGTTTTTACATAAAAATTGTTTTTGCCAGATAATATATGTTGTGAGGGGAGGGGTACGTCGGAAGAGTTTTGATATCATAGTCATTGGTAATTGGATAAATAGGAGTTCGTCAACAAAATTTTTTAAACTGAAAATTTTCCCGATCTATTACTCAAAAAATGTGACATGTATTTTGTTATACAAAGCAAATTCTCCTATAGACTATTCAATTTCATGCAAGGATGTTCACAAATGTCAATATGCTTTGAGTCACTAGTTTAGTATTTTGTTCTAGAGTACTTTGGTTTGTTTTGTCCTGTCTAAATATAACGAAGGGGAGGAACTTTTTTATCTTTAGTGAAAATTTTATTTCTATTATGAATTCATTCACTAAATAAATGGTTAAATGATTTTTCTAATGTTGAGAAGGTCAAGCTATCTTACACGTTGAGTTGAATTGATATTACCATTATACCTCAAACCCTTATATAAGGGGTTAAATACATTATTATTTTCGTGCTACTTAAAAATGTTTAAATAATATTTTATAGTTTACTTTTTAAAAATTAGTTCTTATATGTTTAAAAATCATTGAAATAAACTTTTTATCATTAAAAGTTATTTACACCTTAATCCAATCAGACATGTACTATGATTGCAAACTCACAAATCTCATATTATCTTTTTGATTTGTTGATATAAATGATAGTGAATATGTGAAACATTAGTGAGATAGTTAGGGGAGCGAGTATTACCATGGTTGAAGACAACGTTGATGATAGAAAGGACAATGTGAAGGTCGTGTACGGTGGAAATGTTGTGAACAGTGACGGAGACAACTTGACCACTCTTGATGCTGAGCCATGAGAGAGAAGAGGCGAGCTAAAGACACAGACTTGCAATCAATTTAGAAGGAATTATTATAGAAAATTAAGAGGCAATCTCCGTAAACAGTTGTTATGCCTAAGTAGCATAGGGCTGTTAAAGGTGAAGAGTTTACAAGATTGGGAGTCGAAATCATCCATGATAATTTTATAAATCATTTGCTTATGATCTTATTGTTGTTATTTAAAATGTTTGATTGTAAAATTGAAACGAGATAAATTAAGATAAAATTCACAAAATTTCTAAATTTGCATATGAGTATTTATGTCTTGTAATTACTAAAAAAATTAAGCATTTATGTGAGTACTAAAAATAAACATCATTGAGTCTCTCTTTCTCTATAAGGTTTCACTCTCTACATTTTTTTTGAAACAACTCTCTCTCATTTATATTTATAAGTGAAGATTATCATATTAGACGGATGCAAAAAATTTAATGGTATCATCACGTCATAATACACATTTGACTGAATTGACATCGTTAAAAATTTTTAATGATGAATAGTTTATTTAAATCATTTTTTAAAAGTATAAGAGATTTAAACTATGTACATGTATTGTCAAGTTTTTACTTGAACAACTTCTTTATGTTTGTTTGATAAGAATTTCCTATTATGAACGAGCGATACATGTCATAGTATAAACTTCTTTTGTTTTTATTAACTGGCTTCAATCCAAATAGTAGGACCGGATCTCTTCACAAAGAGAATCTGGATTCAAACATTTGCAGTATACCTATTTTTACTTCTATCAATGAATCCTAGCATGAGAACAAGAGTTGGTAGGTTTATACTCCTAGGAGCCATGTATAGACGTACATAGGTGAAGACATAACTGTTAAGAATTAATTTACAAATTAGAATATAATTGATTAGTTTGTTAGTAGTTTAACTTTATAAATTAAAGTATCTATATATCATTTAGTTTAGTAGTAGTTATAAGTCATAAATTAGATTTATTATGTTTGTTGGTAGTTACAATTAATTTTAGTAGCTGTAATAATATTTATAAATAGTCATGTACTTGAAACTTTTTTGTAAGAACCACAATATGAAAACTTTAGTCTTCTTATTAGTCTCTCTAGCATCTTCCTTCTATCTCCAACAAAGTGGTATTAGAGCTTGGTTTCTTATTAAAATTCTAGAGATGACTAATAATAATCTATTTTCTTTTCATTTTCCTCGTCTTACAAAAAAAAAAAACTATAAAAGTTAGTATTTTCGTATGAAAGTCATACTTGGCTCACAAGATGTGTGAGATATTGTAGAAAAATACTTTACTTCACCCAAAGATGAAGGATCCTTAACTCAGAATGAGAAGGATGTTTTTGCAAGAACAAAGAAGAATGATCAACTAACTTTTGCACTCATCCATCAAGGTTTGGATGAATTTATGTTTTTAAAGGTGGTCGATGCTACCAACACAAAGCAAGCTTGGGAGATTTTAAAAAATACCCTCTAAGGAGTTGACAAGGTGAAGAAGATATGACTCTAAACTTTACGAGGTGAGTTCGAGGCTTTGTAAATGAAGGATGTTGAGTCCATTTAAGATTTTTGCTCAAGGGTAAAGTCTTCATATGGTGAAATGATAGAAGATGTTCGTGTGGTACAAAAAATTCGTCAATCGTTGCCACCAAAATTCGACTATGTGGTTTGTGCCATTGAAAAATCAAAAGATCAAGGCACTTTGACATTTGAACAATTAGAGGAATCTCCACAAGTTTATGAAGAAAAAATAAAAAGAAGACAAGAAAAACATTTAGAATAAGTTCTCAAATCTAAGGCATCTTTGAATGATGGTGGAAAGCAAAGAGGTCGAGGAAGAGGTAGAGAACATGGTCGTGGTCGTGATCAAGCATTTAAAAGAAATAAAACTCAAGATGATGCTGATAATGAAGACAAAGGTCAACCATCAAATAGAGGCCATGGAAAAGGAAGAAGAAAAGGAAGAGTTAACTATAGAAATTCCAACAAATCAAATATTGAATGTTACAATTATCACAAATATGAACATTATCCTTGAGAATTTCGTAACACTTTAAACAAGAAGGAAGAACAAACCAACTTTTTCAATGATAAATAAGATGAGGAAGAAACAACTTTGTTGCTAGCATATAAAGAGGGAGATAGTCATGATACCCATAATTCATGATACTTGGATAATGGAGCAAACAATCACATGTGAGGCAGTACAGAAAAAAATTGTGGAGCTTGATGAGAAGATTAATGGTAATGTTTCTTTTAGGAACACTTCAAAGTTCAAATTCTAGGGAAATGTACAATTCTAATCTCTTCAAAAAATAGTGAACATATACTTATTACTAATATTTATTATGTGTCAAAGTTAAGAAGTATTATTTTAAGTTTGTACCAACTTCTTAAAAATGGATATGAAATTCACGTGGAAGATTATTGTCTTTGGCTTAGAGATCAAAGTGCTAATTTGATTGCTAAGGTGCATATGTCAAAGAATAGAATGTTTATCTTGAATACCAAAACTATTGAAGTAAGATGTTTGAAGGCTAGTGTGGAAGATGAAGCATGGTGTTGACATACGAGATTTGGCCATTTGAACTTTGGAGCACTCAAGGCGATGGGAGAAGAAAAAATGGTGAAAGGGATGCCATTAATCAACCATCGTAATCAATTATGTGAAACATATCTACTTGAAAAGTATTCAAGAAGGAGTTTTCTAACAAAAGCTATTACAAGAGCAACTAAACTACTTTAATTTGTGCATGCCGATGTGTGTGGCCAATCAATCCACTCTCATTAGGTAAAAATAAATATTTTCTACTATTTATTGATGATTTTAGTAAGAAAATTTGGGTATATTTTTTAAAGCAAAAATTAAATATTTTTGCTACTTTTAAAATTTTCGAAACTCTTGTAGGAAAAATTTGTAGTTGTGAAATAAAGTCTTTGAAAACAAATAGAGGAGGTGAATTTACTTCCAAAGAATTTTATGATTTCTACGAATTTAATGGAATTCGTCGCATTTTAATGATTTCAAGATCACCACAATAAAATAGAGTTGTAGAAATAAAGAATAGAACTATTCTTAATATGGCTAGAACCATGTTGAAAGTAAAAAAAACATGCCCAAGAAATTTTGAGCCTAAGTAATTTCTTGTGGAGTGTATTTATCTAATAAGTCTCAAACATCAAGTTTGAAAGACATGACTCTCCAAGAAGTATGGAGCGGAATGAAAGCTAATGTAAACCATTTGCAAGTTTTTGGAAGTATTGCATATGCTCATATTCCAGAACAAAAGAGATCTAAACTTGATGATCGAAGTATCAAACATATTTTCATTGGGTATGATGCAAACTCAAAATGCTATAAATTGTATAATCCAAGCAATGACAAGATCATGATAAGTAGAAATGTTGAATTTAATGAAAAAGCGAATTAGAATTGGGAGCATAAAGAAGAAAATGCTTATGATTTATTTCCATACTTTGAAGAGGAAGACTAAGAGGCCATGGTACCTTTGCAAGAGGCAACTCCACCTCATTCTCCAACTCATGTTGCATCACCCATTTCTGAAGAAAGTTCAAATGAAAGGCCACAAAAGTTGAAGAGCATTCAAGATCTTTATGATGAAACTGAGGAGATCACTAATTTTGATATAAATGATTTGTTTTGTTATTTTCTTGACAGTGAACCAATGAATTTTGATGAAGCCATCAAAGATGCAAGATGGAGATAAGCCATGGAGGAAGAGATCAAATCCATAGAAAATAACAACACGTAAGAGCTATCCACTATTTCTAAGGGACATAAAGCTATTGGTGTTAAATGAGTCTATAAAGCTACAAAAGATTTTCAAGAAAATGTGAAAATATATAATACAAGACTTGTGGCTAAAGGATACAAGCAAAAACATGGGATTGATTATGATGAGGTTTTTGTACTAGTTACTCGCATTGAGACATTCGCTTGCTCTGAGCTATTTTAGCTTAAATGAAGTGAAATTTTTTTTAACTTAATGTAAAATCGTCATTTCTCAATGGTTATCTTAATGAAGAGATTTATGTAAAATAACCATTGAGTTTTATGGTTGAAGGGCATGAAGATAAAATGTTGAAATTAAAGAAAGTTTTGTATGGGCTGAAGCAAGCGTCAAGAGCATAGAATAGCCGTGTAAACAAGTATTTTAAAGATAATGGATTTATTCGTTGCCTTCATAAATATGTTATTTATGTCAAGTATCATTCTAATGGTGATATTCTATTTATGTGTCTATATGTGGATGATCTCATATTCACGAGTAACAATCTAAATTTGTTTTAAGAACTCAAGAAAAACATGTTACTTGAATTTGAAATGACTGATATTGGGCTCATGTCTCATTATTTGGGCCTTGAGGTGAAGTAAATGAAATATAGTCTTTTTATTTCTCAATAAGGCTACAAGAAAAGTCTTAGAGAAATTCAAAATGCTTAATTGCAATCTTGTGAACATGCCTATGGAATGTAGAGTCGAGTTATCAAAGTTTGATAATGGAAAAAAAATAGATTCGACTCTTTTTAAAAATTTTACGGGAAGTTTAAGATATTTGACATTTACAAGGTCTGATATTCTTTTTGCAGTTAGACCAATAAATTATTTTATGGAAGCTCCTATCACCTCCCACATAAATGATGATAAAAGAGTTATAGGTTACCTTAAAAGTACTATTAATTTTGGGTTATTTTATTTATCTTCTGATGATTTTAAGCTTGTGAAATTTTGTGATAGTAATTTCATTGAAGATATTGATGATAGAAAAAATACAACTGGTTTTGTATTCTTTATAGGTGATTGTGCAATTACATGGAGTTCTAAAAAGTAAGTCATTGTTACACTATCAACTTGGGAGTCTGATTATGTGGCACCAACCTCTTGTACTTGTCATGCTATATGGTTTAGAAGATTATTGAATGGACTTCATTTAATACAGAACGAAACCATTAAAACTTTTATTAACAATAAGTCTGCACAAGCACTTGCTAAAAACCCAATATTTCATGAATGAAGCAAATATAGAGATACAAAATATCATTTTATTAGAGATTGCATTGCTAAAAAGAAATTAGAGCTCAAGCATGTAAAGACTGAAGATAAAGTGACAGATATTTTCACCAAACCGCTTAAGTTTGTCTTTCAAATGTTACGCGCTAATATTGGATTGAAAAAGAAATTTACAAATAAAAGGAGAGTGTTAAGAATTAATTTACAAATTAGAACATAATTAATTAATTTATTTATAGTTAAACTTTATAAATTAGAGTCTTTATATATCATTTAATTTGATAGTAGTTATAATTCATAAATTAAATTTATTATGTTTTTTGGTGATTACAATTAATTCTAATAGTTATAATAATATCTATAAATAAATAAACTTTTTTTCAAGAACTATATTAGAAAATTTTGAGTCTTCTCATTAGTTTCTCTGTAACCTCTTCTTTCTATCTCCAACAATACCTGTAAACCTTACCCTAAACCACCCCAACTCACTTTTGCTTTATTATATAATTTTTTTAGGTTCTTTCTGGTTGAGATGCCAAACATTTATGGAATTAAAAATCTCTCTGTCTATATATATATATATACGGTGTAAAGAAGTTAGGATTGAATATTATAGGCTCGTGCCTTTTAAAGGTCTTAAAAAGAAGATAAAGGATTCGATTTGATATGTAGTTAGTCCCTACATCCCCAGTTATCACATCAAGAGGCAAAAGTTGGATTGGGTTGAACTCCACTACCCATTATATAAAAAGCCTCTGCTACTACCTCTTGCTTATTGGACTTTCAGCTTGCAAAAACTTCAGCTATATATACAGATAATATACATATATATTTTACTGTCTATATATATGTATAGGCCCATGTTAATCTTTTGTCCCCTTTCACTTGTAATTTTTATAATAAATGTCTTACAAACAATCTGAATTATATGTATAGTAGATACGTAATATATGTATATTATATGTCAAAGTCAATTTTTTACACCGAAAAGAAAAAGAAAGCTGGCTGGTGGTCCTCCATCGAGCTTGGACACTAGCAAATTAGCCTTTTGCAATATCTGATTGACATGCTTTGGCATTGTGCAATGAAATAAAGTTGGGGGAGATTATGAAAGAGCAAAAGTGAACCAAAGTACAGAGGCCAAAAAAGTTTGATCGACCTCTTTTTGGGTAATGCATGTTCAATGAAGTTAACAATATATACATACATGTAGAGATACATATATACATATATATGAAAAGGGTCGTCGAGTAAGATGCAGATAAGGCGGGCATATTTTTGTTTTTGAGCCTTTGACATTTCATAAACTTTACCAGAGCCAAAAATTGATTGTTAGCGATAGTCTTTTTTTATCCATGGTAGCTTTTTCCAAACCAGTTTCAAGTAGGAGCTCAGTCATATTCATCATTTATTGGATTGACAATGTTTCAGTGTCCATTCTTAATATGTATATACATAAAACATACACAGATATATACACACAGACATATAATCAATTATTTTTGGGCAGAATATGATGTCTTGTTTTGTTGCCCACTGCATAGAATACACGAACCAAACAAATTAATAACGATAACAATTATTATTAAAAACATCGGAGAGAAGAATTATATTAAAAAAAAAAAACTCGTTGAGAATTAAAATAAAAAGGAGGGAAAGAGTATTTCTACTACTCACAAAACTGTGAATTGTAAATCAGATGCAATGCAATCAATTTTAACAGACATATCTGACCCACCAAATAATGTTCAAAACTAATTTGAAAATTGCCAGCCATCTGATCTCCCTCTTGCTTTTTCGATTCATTCATCCACTGGGATCTAAATTTGTGTCTTCGATAAAAATCATTAAGGGCGACAGAGGATCCACGTGGCATCACGCCAGACCGGAATCACCTTCGATCTGTACCTCATTGTGTAACCCTAAAAAATCAGATGCTGCCGGGGATTCTCTCTCTCTCATTTTTTTTTTTTTTTTTAAACTCTTTGCCAGGGTGTGTACCTCGGGGCCACAATATAACGGCTACATTTTTAACTTGCGGCCGAACTTCCCCACGTGATGAACCGAGTCTAAACCAATCAAATCTCTCGCATTTGGCGGGAACCGGGCCCCACATTTTACTGTCTGCTTCTCTTAACAGTGCCCGTCCATCTCGTGTTGACTGAAATAGGTCTGACTTTTCGTCATTCCCCGTGGACCCCACGGTATTCATATTTAAAAAAATCAAACACAAGAGAGCAAGGGCAAAAATGTAAAACTACCCGGATCCCATAAGCGAATACAAACAAACCCTACACAGCCTACTGTTACATTCTGCAAAAAAAAAAAATGGTTAACAAAGTTTTAAGTTTCCGGTTGTTATGCCGGCGACGGCTGTGAGGTGGGATCGGCGGAAGACGGAACATCGGGACCAACACGACAACCTTCAAGCATGAAGACAATATCAGACATTGTGGGTCGGTCAAGCGGGTCCGGTGCGGTGCAGAGTAACCCGACTTTCACTCCCAGCAAGAACTCTTCCCATTCTGATGATTCAGGGTCTAGCTCGAGCAATCCCGGTTCTAACAATTCTGTAATTTGACCCTTTTGTAATTGCTTCTTCACCCACTTCACTATGTCTTCGTCTTGGTTGAACATTACTGGTCTTTTCCCTGTGAGCAGCTCGAGCAAGACAATGCCGAAACTGTATACATCCGATTCTTTTGTGGCCTCTCCAGTAAGTACAGTTTCAGGGGAAACATAGCCCAAAGTGCCAACTGAAGTTGAAGTTGAGGCAGCGGCCTCCGCCGATGTCGCCGACGTGAGCCTATCAAGTCCGAAATCCGATAAATGGGCTTCAAAATCGGCGTCGAATAGGACATTTTGAGGCTTCACATCGCCGTGGACCATGTTGGATGTGTGGAGGAAAGCCAGCCCTCGGGCAATGCCGAGAGCTATGAGGTGGCGCATTGGCCAATTCAGGACATGGCCGTCTTGGTGGGATGCTTCTTGGAGCAGAGTTGCGAGGTTCCCATTGGGCATGTAGTCGTAGACAAGAAGCCGCAAATCAGGCGGCCCGGCGTAGTAGCCGCGGAGAACTGTCAAATTTCTGTGCCGGACTTTCCCTAGAAACTCGGCTTCTTTTTTGAACATGTTCTCGTCCAGTGATCCATCGGGAAGACGGCGGATTGATAACACCATTCCATCGTTGTAACAAGCTTTGAAGACCAATCCATAACGGCTTCTGCTCAGCACATTTTCTTCGTCAAATTGTCTGGTTGCTTCAGTGGTTTCTGCTACTGTGATCTTGTTATTGAACATGACAAGTTTTGGCCCGCCACTGTCGGTGCTTCCTCGTCCTCCGCTGGCCCCTGAACTCGCCCTCGCCGGGCTTCGTTTCTTCTCCCCAGCTGCTCTCTCTATCAGTCTCTTGCGCCATCTCAAGAGGCTGAAAATATAGAAGCAACAGCATAATGCCAAGAGACAAGCACCACTAACAGCAACAACTATCAGCAGAATCAACCTCTTCTTCGTCTTCTTGTTCTCAACATCCTCGCACTTCGACTCCAATGGCTTCCCGCACAAGTCTTTATTGCCTGCAAAAAGTGATGGGTTGTTAAATCTAGAACCGAGCAGGACTGGTATTTCTCCTTCAAGATCATTGCTTGAAACATTCAAGTACAGCAAGCTTGGAATAACAGTGAGATTAGCCGGAATCGAGCCAGTCAAGTTGTTAGCAGAGAGATCCAGCACTGTCAGGTTTGACAAATTCGATAATGAATATGGGATTCCTCCTGAAAGATGATTATCATCCAATAACAGTGATTTTAAAGATGAGCTTCTGGAGATTTCTTCTGGGATTTCACCCGTTAAATTGTTGCCACCCAAATCAAGAACACTCAGACGGGAGAGGCGCGAGAGATCATCAGGAATCTCACCCGTTAAGTAATTTGATCGGAGCTCAAGAACTTCAAGATCAGAGCAATTTGCGAGCTGTGGTGGAATCAATCCAGAAATTTTATTGTCTGACAATGAGAGAACAGATAAGGAGTGAAGAAAACCAAATGTCTCAGGAATATGACCAGAGAATGAATTTGAACTTAGGTTCACATAGCGCAAGCTGACCAAGCTACTGAATCCTTCAGGCACGTCCCCAGACAAATTGTTCTCCTGCAAAGCAATCACTTGCAGATTCGGCAAACCAGAGATCTCAAACGGCAGCTCTCCGGAGAAGTTCTGCTTGCTTAAGTCCAGTGTTGTAAGCTTGAACAAATTGCCGAGACTTGCCGGAATCTTACCAAAAAACCCATTACCGCTCAGGTTCAAGATCATTATCCGACTCAAGCTCCCGATACTGGAAGGAATTTCACCAGAAAACTTGTTGCCACTGAGGTCTAATGTTGTCAAGTTGTTCAACGATGTTAGCCCCATTGGGAAGCTTCCACTCAAGTTGTTACGCCTCAAGTCCAAGAGCTCCAAACCTGACAGGTTTTGAAAACTCGCCGGAACTGAACCAGAGAAGAGATTGCTACCAAGAGATAAAACCCTTAAACCCTTCATCTCATCGAAGAAAACTGGAACATCCCCAGCGAAGCGGTTTCCTCCAAGATCAAGAACGTGCAAGGAGGTACATTGCTTAATCTCGACGGGGACGGTCCCAGTCAAAGAGTTGTTAGCCATTTTCAACTCCTCTAACCCCATCAAGTTTCCAATCTCCGCCGGAATCTCACCTGAAAACAAGTTATCCGAGACATCCAAATCCCTCAATGTTAAGATGCTGGTTAACCACGAAGGAAAGCTGCCTCGAATCCGGTTCTCGTGAAGATCCAATACCAGCAAAACGCTGTGACATTCCCCTGTTTCACGACCCACAACATTCGTGAATGAATTGGAACCCAACTGCACGATCTTTAGAGAAGGGGGGTAAGCCGATACGTTGCAGAACAGGGAAAACGGTACCGAACCAGAGAGATTATTCTTCGACAGTGAGACAACCTGAAGCTTAGGGAGCGAGCCAATGGCGGTTGGGAACACGCCGCCTAGCGAGTTCCCTTCCGCGCTCAATTGAACAAGAGAAGAACAATTGGCGATGGCTGAAGGTAAAGTCCCTTGTAGCATATTGTAATCGAGCCACAAGTACTGGAGATCCTGCAACCCGCCAAAACTTGCCGGAATCTCACCGGAGAACTGATTATAAGAAAGGTTGATAAGTTGAAGCTGGGACAAGTTGGCGATGCTTCTGGGCAGGGAACCAGAGAAAGTGTTCGATGACAGGTCCAGATACTTGAGGCTCGGAGGAAACTCGCCGGAGATCTCTCCAGAGAGGCTGTTCTGGGCAACATTGAAAACCTGGAGGTTGGTAAGATTGCCGATCTCCTGCGGGAGCTCGCCGGAGAGTGAGTTATACTGCAAAAAGACGGCGCGTAGGAGCGAGCATTGGGAAAGGGAAGAAGGAATAGTACCGTTGAGCGAGTTGGAGCGGAGGCTAAGCTTGCGCAACATGCGCAGATTAGCAAGTCGGTCAGTTAGCCGGCCGCCGAGTCGCAAACTAGGCAAACGGAGCTCCGTCACTCTGTCCTCGTTGCAAGCAATCCCACGCCAGTCACATGGAGCAGCCGGCGTTGATGGGTCCCAGCCGTTCAACGCCCCCGACGGATCGTACAGGTTCATCTTCAAAGACATCAGCGCATCAATCTCCGCTTCCGCCACGGCGGTCCTCCCGGCGGCACACGCCAAAAACGGTGCGCATAGCCCCAAAAAAAATATAAGAAAAAACAGAGAATCTTTCTCCCCCATGGACGACGACAAAACCCACAATGCAGTTTAAAAAAAGCACCGCCCAGTAAACGAAATGAAACATAAAAGCTCAGTTTCCGATTAAAGAGATCGGATGAAGCAGAGAAGGCATGAAAATGAGAGTGTTGGCAGGTGAAAATGCAGAAGAGGTGAAGGGAAGAGGTGTCGCCATATGTTGTTGCAGAGTGAATGAGTGTTGTCTGTATCTGAAGTCCCACAAAACAAAAAGCGACAGAGTGGGAAGGAGAGAGAAGGGTTTTGTTTCCTTTGGGTTGGGCTTCTCTCTAAACGCTTTGAAAGAGAACTTTTTGAAAGGGAGAATAATGGCGGAGGTTGGGGGAAGTCTTAAAGGGATTGTGGCTTTTTAAACCTCATATGATATGATATGGGTAGAATCATTGGAGCTTGTGCGAAGCTCTGAATATAATATATATATATATATATATACAGATATCTTGTTTTTTCTTTTTGTTTTTCGAAAAATTAAATTTATCTACTGGGTGCTACCACCAGCCACTGCCACCATTATTTTATTTTCTGGGTGTAGATAAAACTCGTTGCAGAGTTTTATTTGAAGCAACTTCAAATTGACGATAACCTTTTCTTCTTCGTTGGATTGAATCACAATAAATTTTTAATAAAAATCCGCAAATTATGTTAAATTTTAACTTTGTTAATTAAAAGATTCATTTCTTTTACATGATTCGGTTGAAGAAAATTAAAAATTTACATGAGGTTTCTGCTTGGGAGTATATCAACCTACGCTTAGCTAATGTCTCTACTTGTGTTTTGTCCTTTTTCCTTTCATTTGTGTATATATATATATATATATATATGATCCAGGCCAAAATCATGATGAAGAAAGCTCTTTTCATTTGCTTTTCCTGGAATTAATTTTTACTTTTTATTTATTTTTTATAATTACAATATATATATATTTACTTTTAAAAATATTTTTAGCATTTTTTTTTTCCTACTAATTAATTTAACAAATTAATTTTTGTTCTATTATGTTATATAGAGAAATTAGATTGACATTACTAAAGATGAAAAAGTATAATTCTTAAAAAATTTTATTAATTTTTGCATTTCGTCTGGTTTAAAAAATTACATTCTTATTTAATTTATAATTTTAATTAACACATTTGATTGAAATTAAATTAAAATTTTCAAAATTTTATCTCATTTTGTACTATATTTTTGCATTTATTTTATGAAACTGAAATTTAAATCAAATTAGAAACTAAAATTGAATCGATTATATATGTTTTCACAACTATTTTAATGCTAAATGTTTAACATTTTTATAATAATTGTTTTATTAACTAATAATTTAGTAATTACTATGTGATATTACCTAATTATTTGATTAGTGTATAAGTGTATGTATAGGAGGCATCATAATCATAATTTTTTTTCTTGTCTATTTGGTAATTCTTTTTGTCTTTTAGTTATTTTTGTTTCTTCTTTTTACTATCCGATTTGATTTTCTGAATCTGGAAACCACGTTCTGTTTCCTCTTTCGGTTTCTGTTTTTCTACAACTACGTGGAGTTCAATGGTCAAAATGCAAAGCCAAAGAATAAAGATTTAAAGAGAAAATGACTAAACACCGTGAAGCTTTCTATTATTATGAACTAGAAAAAAGACTGATAGTCATTGAGGGTTTCTCCTTGTGTGTCTATACATCATATGTATGTACGTATGTATGTATGTATGTATGTATGCATGCGTGGATGTACAGAGGGCCCAAATGGTGAAAAAAGTCAATAAATTGGACTTGTGGGGCCCCAAGAGTTGGTGGCTACACAGATTGAATTATGTTGAAGAGCCAATAATGGGAAACAAAAAAAAAAAAATTACAGTTTCAGTTTTTTAAAATTTTATGGTACCAATAATTTACTTTTAAATTACTTTATAAAAAATTCTTATTTTAAAGAACTATCTTATATTGTTTTTCAACTTTTAAATACAACATATGATTTTAATACTTACCTAAATTAATTTAAATAAACAATAAATGGGTATAAAATAATGTTGCCAAAAGTTTGAATTAACGTGTTAGCGGGAGTTTGTCTGAAGAAATAAACAAACAAAAAAAAAAAAAAGATTAATAGTAATATATATCAAGAGGCACTTGGTCTCGCCCACTTTTTTTTTTTTTTTTTTCTTCTTCTTTTGGATAAAAAGTTAAAACTAATTTTTAATATATTATAATTATTTCAATTCAAATAATTTTAAACATTTTCTAAAAACATAATATGTTTTGTAAAATTTAATTATTATAATTTGTATTAATATATTAATAATAATATAATGAAAAGGACAAAAAGTTGCTTTGCCAATTGCCGGAGGGAAATAATTGGCATGCATACATACATACATACATACGGCCCCTTGTAATAGCTTCCTGAATTGTTTATTACAAGGCATTGGACCCGCATGAGAGATGATAAAGTGAGCTCATATCATCTCCCAAATCCTGCCTATTCAATTAGGTATATATATATATATATATACTCAATTATATATTATGTTAGATTGTTATGTATGTATTATTTTGCTGATGAAATATATGTATTTTTTATTAAAAAATAAATAATCATAGTTAAATGATTACTAAATTAAACAAGTGCCAATATCTCTATGCAATTTAAATCGTGATTAATACAATCTCACTTCAAAAAATTTGAATCACACGAATCAATTTTTATTTATGATAAACTTAATTTAAATTACCAAAAAACTATTAGAAAAAGTACTCCCTCCAAATCAATATAATACACATTATTTCATCGTATAATTTAAAATGATTAAAGAAAGTTTTAATATGTTAAAATATGATTAAAAAATTAATTTAGTATTAATTTACTGTACAAAATTTCAAGACTTTAGAATGACAAAACTAAATTAATAAACTATTAGATTGAGCTACAGGAACATAATTACCACCAAGCAAGCGCTTGTACTTCCTCTGTCTGATTCCTTCAAAGATATTAGGGTAAACTGCAATAACAAAGAGGAAGAAAGCCACAACAATCATAGCCCATATGAAGATGAAAAGACAGAGAAATGGTGCAACCACCTTTATTGCATTGTCTCTGTTTATCACCTTTCTTAATAGGTAAACACATGCTATTACCACCAAAGTAGCGATGGAAGCGACGTAGAAGCGTGTGGCAGCACTGAGGTTTTGTTTCAGGTTTCCTTCTGGAGTAGAGTCCATGGCGATTTGATTTCGTGTTAAACGACCTAATGAGAATGGTATAATAAATTTGAGAGATTATAATCACGTTTAAATGTAGAATTGAATCGATGTATTTTATAGGCGGAAATGAATAAAAATTTGATGGAGTTCAAAGAGAAGATAAAAATTAAATGATGATAATAATAAGAGAGCATTAGAAGAGAGGTGCATACCCTTTTCTTTTCTCTGTTTATTGGTTGCAAGAATACAAGGGTGAGCAACTTATCTTAGTTACTGCAAAGTATCAAAACATTTTCTTGGTTGGAGGTGATTGTGGGAAATTTTTTAAACTAGAATAGAAATGAAATCTCATAATTTGTTCTGTGATTTGATTTGATGATTTGATGCCGCCATTCTTTCAGACTTTAATTCAAGATCTCGCTTACCAGAAAAAACAAAATGTTGAGATTATCAGTAGGCCATTAAGATCTGTTGTTGAAATCATTGATGATCGATAAAATCAAAACAAGATTTCGAAGTTTATGGATTTTTCTTATATTCAAAGCACTTAATAATCATCTAACCTTTAGTTCATGAACCGATAAGGCTTTTCTGCATCTGGATATTATAGAGGCGTTTTATAGTACTTGGCAATTTTTCCTAGTAATAATTGCTCAATATTGTGTTATAATTATTATATATTATTAAGTGATGAATGCCCAATTATTGAATTAATATGAAATGTTAGAAAATTAACTCGAGGCATAATGCTTCTAAAGCACTATAATAAAACCTAATAGCTCCGTAAAGGTTGGTTCTGTAAGACATAGTTTTCTGATCTTTTGTTGCATGACCCCAGAAAAAAGTAATTAACCAGCTCACAGAAAACAAAGGCTTTCGGTTGAACAACAACGATTTCTCCTTCCTGATAGCTATTAATTAGGAAGGTTGATCTTACAGCCAATAACAAAAGCATCAGCTTTTTGCATAAGCAGCGATAAATTGCTCACAAAAAGTTGCTTAGCATTGAAGAAAACAAAAAACTAAAGCAACTAAAGACTAGAAGAAGTGTAATCGTGTAATGAATGGACTGTAATGATCAACTAACTGGAATGTATTCTACATAGCTTTCTCTGAGAGTAAAACCAGCTCACAAGATAGACAGCACACTTCGTTTCCAGCCACTAGATTTCTTGGTTCGGGGTCGGAGTGCAAAGTTGAGACCAAACATCTCCTTGGAACCCTGTCCAGAATCTGTATAACCAAGCAGCTTTGCAACAACAGCAGCACTCTCTCTAACGTTTTCCATGTCTTTTGTGTCAGACCATAACTTTTCCACCAACTGCAACCGCCTGTGTTTTGTATTCAATCCAATACCCCATTTTAGAAATAGATTCTCTCTCTCTTCTGTAGAAAGCCGCTTCTTTAATTGCTGACTCAGTCTCTGCCTCTCACGACAAAGTGCTCTCAAACTGTTTACAAGAAAGTATATATATTGAAAATGTGTCCTAGCAGATAGAGAGAAGTATAGATCATAGAAACAAAATATAAATCCTTTAGTATTCTATCCAAGATTTGATCGTAATACCTGGTAGTTGGTGTCAGAATTCTTCCATCATCAACAGTTCTACTACCGCGAGAAAAT